AATATCTGCGGCATGGAAGCCCATTTCTAATATGCGGTCTATGACCTCTCTCCTGCTAAGGGGGGGGCCCTCCCCTGACCATTTCAGCTGAACAACATTTCGCCTTGCGGCGGAAGTGGGTAGGTTACCTGCCCTTGCCCGGGCCGATCCCACTGACCCCTGACCTCCCCTAACTGCAGCAGAGTAACTGAGCCCCGATCCAGCCCCAGGGGCACTCAACATCAAGGGGGCATGACCAGGGGAAGCCGCCACACCAGCAGCAGCAACTGAAGGGGCAGATGCTGATGAGCCATGACCTGGGGGAGCCCGGGGCTGGGGACCACCCATACCAGCAGGAGAACCCACCTGAGCCGGACCCGCAGGAGCCTGGACCTGAGAACCTGGAGCCCCCTGAGGAGAAACCGGGGGACCTGCTGGTTGCACACCAGAGGCCACCATGCCCCCCAAAGGGGCGGGGCCCAGTGGGACCACCACCGGAGGGGAAACACCCTTAGCCAGGACTGTAGGGCTAACCTGCAGCTCAGACAATTTTGCAGGCATTATACCCGCTACCCCAGTGTCCAGAACCATCTCACCAACACAATCAGCAGAGTCCTTCTCCCCTTCCAGTGGCTCCCCTGCCTTTGCCAACACGTCCTTGGGGATGCGTTGCAGCATGACAAAGGCAGCATGCTCTTTCACCACCGGCTTAGCCGGCTTGCGGGGGATGACATCACTTTCAGCTTCTTCCTCTGAGTCCTCGGACGTAAACCTGAAGTCGGCTCCACGCAGCTCTGCAACCGCCTCTGCCAGGAACTGCAATCCGCCCACTATCTCCTCCTCCTCCACCTGGGTCCCCCAATCCACAGGCAGCTGCCCAGGGGGGAGGGACTCTGATGATCCTGCCACCACGCTGTCTTCCATGATAGACGCCATTTCCTCTGAGGGTGCTGTGGGCTCAACCTGCCCCTGCTCGCCTTCCACCAGCAACTCCCCCGACAATTCCTCCACCGAAGAGGCCTCCTCCACCGGACCCCGCATCGCCGCAACACTGCGGCTTCTTGCAGCCTTAAATCTCGCTTCATTCAGATACTTCTCGCTTAGGACGCCGCTGGCGCTGCAGCGCCGCCACATACCTCCCCTGCTGTGACACACGAAGTTCCAGCGCCTCCAGGTCCGGTTTCATGGCCTGCCGCTTAGTAGACCATACACGGTCGTAGGATGACCGGAGCTTCTTTAGCTCCAGAGTCAGCTTCTGGAGCTTGGCTTCCTCCTTCTCTATTAACCTGGCCCGAGCGGCCACACGGTCCCGGTAGGCAGAATAAACTTCCCCCTTCCTAGGGGCCATTCCCAGGTCCTCTACTGGTGGAAAAGAGAGGCCGGTACTAGGCCCCTCCAGGGCCTTCTCCCCGCTGGACCCAGGCCCAGGATCCGCCATCCTGCCTGGGCTGGGCAGGGCACTTTAGCCCCAGGCTTCTCGGGCCTTTCTGGAGCTCAGCAGACAAGTGCAACACACCCTCTCTCAGGAATGAATTCACCAATAATGGTGGGACTCAGCTGCCTTGTGATCTGCAGTACCAGGGCTGGCCAGCGGGTGCTCCCAGCAATCAGAGACTCAACTTAGCTAACACCTGGAACTGATTATGCTGGGGTATTTAAGGGATGGCCAGACTTGCAGACTCTGCCTTGGTGTTGTGTTCTCTTGGGCCCTGTATCCTGTTCCTGCTCTCTGTTCCTGTCTGACCTTCTGATCCTGCTGACCCTGCTCTGATCTGATCCCTGGCTTGTCTGACCATCCCTCTGCCTGACCCTCTGTACTACGCTGCTGCGTCAGCCACACACCTCTGGTCACACCTGGGAGCCCTGACACTCCAAGTCCATCCCCACCATCAGGGGCCCTGGCGAACAAGCACCCTGGGACTTAGACTCCGTGCGCTGGGGACGCCTATTCAGTGGAGTGCTAGTGGTACCACTGGGCGGTCCCTTACAAGTTTAGTGAAGGAACATGGAGTAGGAGGTTACAGGAAGACAGCCAGGACCTCTCTCCAACTTGGTAGGAACGTAAAGGTAGGTGTCAGTGGTCAGCATGGAGTTTGTACCTTTCTCTGGAGTATTGCAAGAACTCTTGGATCTGCACATAAGTGGAACAGAGTTCTCAAAGATGTTCCTCAAACACAAGAATTCCCTGCAGAATGAATGTATCAGGCAACATGGATGGCTGGAACCCATAGTTCGGCATAAACGGAGATAATCGGGAGGCAGCATTGATGGCATTATTATGAGCAAACTCTGTCCAAGGTAGAATGTCCAACCAGTTGTTATGGTGGTCTGAAATATAGCAACGTAGGAACTGTTCCAAGCCTTGGTTGGCCTGTTTTTGTAACCCTATTGGGTGATATGCTGTGACAGGAGTCACTTTGGGTGGGGGGCCCATGGAACACAGCCCCCTTTACAGAGGTGGGGAGACCCCTGTCTCAGCTCCCCATATCCCGCTTATGTGTAAGTCACCCTGTGCCTGTTAGGGGTACAGGGTGGAATGTCCTGCTATTGTGTAGACATGTATAGGTGGGGGTTGTTCATTGTTCACTGCCATGAGGCTGCATCCCATTGTTCTATTGTGTGTCTAGCTTGGGAGCAAACTATTATGGGTATTATGTATGTGTTTGTGCATTGGCTTGGAGGGGGGTGTTTTCCGGCAGCCCTTCCCCTGATGGGACTGCCTGCTGATGTGTTTCCTGTTACTGAGTGTGTATTTCCCTGCTCTGTGTATATATCTTGTATCTATGTTAAAATAAAGCAGTCTATCTCCTGGAATCCTTCAAGTCTGGTGCTGTCTCCTCTTGTATGGTCAGCAGTGGTGTCCGTGGATCTGTGTTCGGACAGGGAAGCGGAAGTCTAACGGAAATACTCTAGTGCAGTCGGGGTCCGGTTTCGTTACATATGCCAAGGAGAAGGAAAGCTGAATTCCCAACTGTGCACAAAAGGCTCACCAAAACCTGGACACAAACTGGCTACCCATGTCTGAAATGATAATTTAGGTAACCCATGTAACTGAAAGATCTTCCGATCGAATATTGATGCCAGTTCTTTTGACATAGGTAACTTCACCTGTCAACCACCATAAGAAATCCACAATAAAATCAATAGGCAAGTGGGTCCAAGGCCTCTCTCCACTAGGTATGGGTTGTAGAAGGCCTACTGGAAGGTGTCAGGTGTTTTATTCTGAGCACACATGGGACAAGCAGCTATAAAGGCGCAGAGACTAGGCCACCAGAATTATTGAGATATAGACCATATGAGTTGATTTTTCCCTGGATGCCCAGCTGCTTTGGAAGAATGGTAAGTCTGGAGCAAAGCAGTGAGGAGATTCTCAGGGAACAAGCAGCAGTCATGAGGTTTTCCAGGAGGAGAATGGATTTGAGAAGCCAGAATTCTCTCAGCCAAAGGTGAAGTGAGACTAGTGCAAATAGTGGCCAAAATGCAGTCCAGAGGTATCACAGGAGTAGGAACAGACTCTATTTTGGAAGAGAGTAAAAACTGCCGCTATAATGCATCTGCTCTTATATTCTTCATACCGGGTAAGAATGAGACTATATAATTGAAGCTCGACAGAAAAAAGGCCCACCAAGCATTTCTAGGAGATAAGCATTTAGCCTCAGACAAGAATGTGAGAGTCTTATGGTCAGTCAAAATGAGGACCGGCACAGTAGTACCCTCGAGGAGATGCCTCCATTCTTTGAGAACTAAAATGATGGCTAATGATTCTCTGTCCCCAATTTCATAATTTCATTCTGCTGGAGACAATGTTTTAGAAAAGTAGCCACAAGTATGCATAGGGCCCACAGGGGTAGGACGTTGAGACAGGAGAGTGCCCCTACTCCAGTCTCAGATGCATCAACTTCAAGAATCCTGAAGAAGGATAATGTAAGATCAGGATGTCCAAGCGCTGGGGCTGCAGCAAAAGCAGCCTTGAGAGATTCAAAGGCTTTAATGGAATCCAAAGACCAATTTTGTGGGTTGCCCTCCTTTCTGGTCATATCAGTCAGGGGTTTGACCAGAGAAGAGAAATTACAAATAAATTTCCGATTGGCAAAGCCAAAAAAACATTGTACAGGACGCAGACCTATGGGTCGAGGCCACTGTAAGACTGCAGATATTTTCTCTGGGTCCATCGAAAACCCAGCAGAAGATATGACATAACCCAAAAATTTAACCTGTTCATGATGAAACTCGCACTTTTCAAACTTGTAATACAGGTTTACTTTAAAAATGCACAGCCATCCAGAGCCATGTGCCCGAGATGACAGGGAGGAGGACTGCTTGTAAACAAAGCACCCCTCTTCCCCAACAGAAATCCTCGGTAATCACCATCCGGGACCTGGTGATTGACGGGCTCGAATGGCAGCATGGGTAGGGCACACGCGCCCCCTACCCGGAAATACAAAATCACATATATACCGTATATTTCGCTCCATAAGACGCACTTTTTTCCCCCCAAAAAAGGGGGGAAATAGTCAGTGCGTCTTATGGAGCGAATATGGAGCGGCCAGTCCGGTATTTCCACCGCCGCCGTGTCAGAATACCGGGCCGGCCGCTCAGCTCTGCAGTGGGACCTTACCTGTTCCTCTATCCAGCGGCGCGCTGTCTTCCCGGCTTCTGTAGTGTGCTTGACAGCGGGTGCCAAGTACGCATGCGTTAGAAGCGCGTTCTCTTTGTGAATGGTAAGGTGGTACCTGGGACACATGACAGATCCCAGAAGCCGCCGGACCAATCACAAAGCACAGCTCTTCTCGCTCATGCGCACTGGGCATCCGGCTGTCCGCCGAGTGCCCACACTACAGAAGCCGGGTAGACAGCGCGCGGCTGAATAGAGGAACAGGTAAGATCAAAGAACAGCTCCGTGGAAGTAAGAGCGGGTACCTGTCAAATTCAGGTACCCGCTCCCCCCCCTCCCCAAAGGTCAGCAGTCATCTCCTGTACTGTCCACAGTCTCTGGCCATCCCTGTACTGTCCGCAGTCTCTGGTCATCCCTGTACTGTCCGCAGTCTCTGGTCATCTCCTGTACTGTCCGCAGTCTCTGGTCATCTCCTGTACTGTGTCCAGAGTCTCTGGTCATCTCCTGTATTGTGTCCGCAGTCTCTGGTCATCTCCTGTACTATGTCTGCAGTCTCTGGTCATCTCCTGTACTATATCCGCAGTCTCTGGTCATCTCCTGTACTATGTCCGCAGTCTCTGATCATCTCCTGTATTGTGTCCTCAGTCTCTGGTCATCTCCTGTACTATGTCCACAGTCTCTGATCATCTCCTGTACTATGTCCACAGTCTCTGGTCATCCCCTGTACTGTGTCTGCAGTCTCTGGTCATCCCCTGTACTGTGTCCGCAGTCTCAGGTCATCTCCTGTACTATGTCCACAGTCTCTGATCATCTCCTGTACTGTGTCCGCAGTCTCTGGTCATCTCCTGTACTATGTCCACAGTCTCTGGTCATCTCCTGTACTATGTCCGCAGTCTCTGGTCATCTCCTGTACTATGTCCGCAGTCTCTGGTCATCTCCTGTACTATGTCCACAGTCTCTGATCATCTCCTGTACTGTGTCCGCAGTCTCTGGTCATCTCCTGTACTATGTCCACAGTCTCTGGTCATCTCCTGTACTATGTCCGCAGTCTCTGGTCATCTCCTGTACTATGTCCGCAGTCTCTGGTCATCTCCTGTACTATGTCTGCAGTCCATTAGTTCAGAATTTTTTTCCTGTTTTCTGCCTCTAAAACCTAAGTGCGTCTTATGGTCAGGTGCGTCTTATGGAGCGAAAAATACAGTACTTTGATTTTGAGCAGGCGTACTGCCCTGTAGCAGTATATCTGCTATAGGGCGGTCGGGGAAGCTGTTAAAGAGAGCTTCTAAGAGTGTCTCAGATTTTATTTCAGCAGTATCTTTAATTAAAGGAATATCTTTATTTTGCAATGTGAGATGTTTGTTTAGGACAGAGACGGTAGGGTCTACACCACAGGAATAGCCACCTTTTTTTGCAAACTTTTTTTTCACTTTTCATGTTCATGAACAGATAGAATGTGCATCTAACAATTGGGTCACTCCTGAAAGGATTTTCGCTCACCAACAGTCTTTGCTGAACTATAGTGCACATTCTATCTGTTCACGAACAGGAAAAGTTTTGGACGTTTTTGTAGGTCTCTCAGTGCCCAAGGGTGCATGGTGAGACAGAGGAGTGGGGGAGAAAAATCTTCTGCAGCTTCCACCAACTCTTCATTAACATCTTCTCCATTCCCATCTGACTCAGCGTCCTCTAGGACCGACATATTGGGCTCTGACCTTGGTTCAGAAATGGTAGTAGGAAAAGAGGCAGGGCATTTCTGAGCTCTGGACAAATGGCTGAATCAAGGCCATAATCTGTCCAAGAAATTGTGACATAGATGAAGAGAATTTTGCTTCAGTCAAGTAGGCCACTTGCTACGTGCCTGAAACACACCAAGAATTGGATGCTGGGACTGGTGTTAAAAACTGGGTCCTGGTCTGGTACAAGGGATGCCTCGTCACTCTGAGTCTGAGAGTTCTGATGACCTTCCACAGAGCGAATTTGCACCCTTTGTTTAGAATTGTGAGGGTATTCTCCTGTGAGGTACTCGCAGAGTATAGTGTGGGAGTGATAAGTGTGGTAAGCGTGTCCAGAAGGAGTACACAAAAAACCCAGGTGTAGGCCATCCTGCTAGGAATTCTCATTGCAAAAGAGTGGGAGGATGCACCTGAGCACCTGAATAAGGGTTCTAGGTGGAAGTGGTATTAAAGTTTGTGACTACTAGTGTGATGTAACAGCTGGTCATCCATGTGAGTCTGAGTTCTAAGTGGTTGAACTTAGCCCAGTTTTTTCACATTAACATTAGAGATACAGGGTGACCCTATCTTACCTGTTCACAATGCAGAATTGTATATAAAGTCCAGGCCCCACCCATCGCAGAGGACATACCTCCAAAGGGGTCTTCATAGCAATGGATCATGGCCCTGGACCTGTATGTCACCTTGTCGCTAATTCAACGCATTGCACCAAGTGCCAAGTTCAACCACCTCACATGTATTAATTGTTTGGGCATCATGGCTGTTTAAATACAATAGCTGGCCGCAGAGATTCCTGAGGACTGAATGAGAGAAATCTATGTGTGTATGGCTAGCCCTAGTTTACCTTATTCAGCCCTAAGGAAAGTATATTTCTTTGTGTTTGTAAGCTCTATTTTTAACCTTTAATATTTAATTTTGTTAAAAATTAAAAGTTTGTACTTCATTTACAATTAACTTTGCAATGTTTTGTACCAGAAACATAATTTTTGGGTAATTTTAAACAGGCCAAATTTATAGACTAGAACTTTATTTGTTTTTTAACTAACATTGATCAAAGTAGAAAAAGTACTTTTTAGTTTTGTCACTTTTTTTTGTCTATGGAATGCATGAAAAGCTAAGCAAACAGGAGTCTCTATAGCCAGAGATGCTAGAAAAAGACCTCTATTTCAGTAATTAGTACAGTACAAAAACAACTACTTGAGCTTATCCTTTGATAGCGGCTCTCGCAGTGCAGTTAGCGAAACAGTTGAAGGGATCTCTGGGATGGCTCCACAGCCGAGCGACTGGAGGAGTCTCAGGCTGGTACCCCAGGTAGGTGGCCTCACCCCACTTAATGCATAGTCCTCTGGTAGCAATTGGAGCAGTGCTTATTGCACTGGCTGGGTGTTCCGTAGAAGCTGTATACTATCATGCTCCTGCCTATTCGACCGCACACAAGGGCTAACACTGGCTGAAGATCACATGCCCCCCCATGTTTTCAAAATCAAGCACAGTCTCGTTAAGTTGCAGAGGACAGGAAATAGGGAAATATATCCCCAGGCATGTCCAAGAGCCCTGGAGCTTGCGGCAGGCCAGGAGCTTGTGGGAACCCAAGAAATTGTGATAAGAGGAGGTAAAGAAGCCAAAGCCTTGCATATGAGCATGTGAGTCTCTCTGTTACATGTTAGCAAGAGGTTTTTAGATCTGTATACACTCAAACATGGAAGCTGTCAGTTTGACCAATTTTTAAGGTGCAAGGCTGTTGTTCCATCCTGTACTGTTACTGTACTATTAAATAAAGCTATTGACTTGGAACAAGTATGCAGCCTGAAAAGTACAGGTAGGACAACCTCTTGTGTCCTATGAAACCATGAGGCCACCTTGGGCAAATAAAGAGGGTCTTGTCTAAGCACTACCCTGTCCTCCAATACCACCAGGAAGGGTTCCTTGATAGACAGGTTCTGAAGGTCGCCTATTCTGAGGAAGCGACTGCCGTTGCGAAACATGTCGGGCATTACCTATATTATCTGAATGTCCCTTACCTCTCTACAGGATTATTCTGTTGGTATTCTCTACACTGTAACCATTGATTGCCAACATTACAACAGTTTGGTGGGTTTTGGGATATTCACTGTGGGCAAGGATGCCCTTGTGATGGCTAAAAGGAGGGCTAACATAAAAGATAAAACCCTAACATAAATCTGTGCCACTGGCTCAAACGGTGGCTTGGTTAAAGCCTCCAACATGAAGGTCAGATCCCAACCTGGAAAACAATGTATCTTAATGGGGGTCACCCTTTTCCTGGCCCCCAGAAACCTCTTAACTAGGGGCTCCGACGTACAGTAGGTCTCTGGTCCAAAAAGATTGATAATGCCAATAAGGCAGCCACTTACAGCATTAGGATGTTTACAGCTACATCTTTATCCACCCCTGCTTGGAGAAAGTCTAGGATCAGAAGCACCGTGGAAAGGGAAACCACCTTCTCCTGACACCAGCTAGAAAACACTCTTTGGCATATATTTTTCTAGTGACTGGCTTCTTACTGATAAGAGTTTCTATCACCCTCTCAGAACACCCCCTTCTTCTAAGGATCTCTCTTTCAAGAGTCAAGCTATTAACCAAAAAAATTGGGGTGCAGAGTTGGCCCCTGCAAGAGAAGATCCCTCCTGACTGGGAGAGGCTGCAGGGGAGCCACGGACCACTTCCTCAAAGTGGCAAACCTGGCTGCTCTTGGCCTCCACAGGCTACCAAGATTAGTCTGCAGCTTGACCAACTCAGCTTCTGTAGTTATTGTACAATTCACCCACAGTGAATATCCCAAAACCCACCAAACTGTCGTAATGTTGGCAATCAATGGTTACAGTGTAGAAAATACCAGCAAAATAATCTTGTAGAGGGGTAAGAGACATTCGGATAATGTAGGTAATGCACGACATGTTTCGCAACGGCAGTCACTACCTCAGGGGCTAGCAATATCTAGAAAAAATGCATATACTTTGACAACAGGGATACACTTCTGGGCCCTGCTATGGTTTGGACCCAGAGGTGGGAATACCAATGTCTGTTTTGTATGTGATTTCATCATTAGTGGAAAACGTGTACTTCAGTGGATCTCATATTGTGCCATTGTAATCGATGGACGGCTCTTTGGAGCTTTTTTGTCACCACACTCACTGTGCCTAAATGCCTTCAATAACATTGTGACCTATGTCTTGTGTATATATATACATGGTGTTTTTTGTTGTTTCTACTTTGTACTCATTTGTATTTGCATACAGCCTTTTTGCTATTTTAACATATGTGCTTTTTGCTGTGGTGGACCCCCCGGGTTCTTTGGTGGGGGACCTGCCCTTTATTAGGATTTATTAGGATTATTCTGTTGGTATTCTCTACACTGTAACCATTGATTGTCATCATTACGACTGTTTGGTGGGTTTTTGGATATTCACTGTGGGTGAATTGTACAATAATATCTTATCAGATATTTTTTATATATGATGTGATGTTGAATAAAGGAACATTGATTTTACTTTCTTGTGTACCAAGCGTCTGTGCCTAAAAAGTCCATTTTCATATTTTCTTCTATAGTCTATATTGGGACCTGGCACTTTCTTACTTATCGGGTGTGACCTCTTATAACCCAAGGGTCTCCTCATATCTTTATTATATCAGCTTCTGTAGTGCCCGTGGGATCAAGGCCCGAAATTCCATTCCTGACATTTAGTACAACAATGTAATATCCAGTAGTGGGATTCTGAATATCAACGAGTGTACATAAAGATAGTAGCTGAAAGGTACCAGGGATAGGTAGCATTTAGTGTTATGTGGACATCTGGTAACCAGGATAGAGGTGGAGGAGATCAACATTTCTTAAGTGAAATCTACCAGTGCCCCTGTCCATGTGTTCAACATTCATAAGAATATCACTAATTTAGAAAATGCCACACTATGGCCACTAGATGGAGTTGATGATCATAGTAAATAAGTATTTATAGGGGTTGGACAAAAAAAATGGAAATACTACAGTGATATTACATTCTTTTGCTTTTGCTGTGTGATGAGACACCTAGCTAACAGGTGAGAAGCTACACATTTATCATTCACTTCATGCCCTGCTAGTAATACAGAGTTATGTTAGAGCTTACTGAGCTTCAAAGAGGGCAAATTGTTGGTGTCCGCTTAGCTGGTGCCTCTGTGACTGAGGTTGTCAATTTATTTGCGGTATCGCGAGGTACAGTATCAAAGGTTATGACAGAATATACAGTTTCCAGGAAAAAAAAAGCACAAAAATACAGGAGTGGTTAAAGACAAAATTTTATTTAACAAATTATATTAAGGATACACACTAATAA